AATTTTAACAAAACAAGCATAAAAAATCTTCTAAATATTATATATATATATATATATATATCAATCTATTGTTATCGGTGTCGAGATCCAATAAGGAGTTTATGATAGAGTTATGACCCCATTCATTTTTATTAGTTTTAATAGAACTAAAACAAACATATGTATCATCATGGAAGTTTTAATATTTCTACTAACTTAATGTACATAAATATAAATCAATACATATATTTTGACATTAACAAACAGGTTATGTTAATTTTTCTCATTATTTTAAGATTAATTATATTTTTATATTACAATTGTACGATTTTGATATTTAAAATTCTAATCAAGGAATTTTAGTCTCTGAATTTTTAATTAAATAATATTAAATTCTCAAGTATCATAACTATACGATTTTAATCCTTAAAATATTACAATTATATAATTTTTGACCTATTTAAGTTATATATATTATCATTTTCATTCATGTGTTAAATGATATATTTATTATTACTAAAATTACTAATATATAACTTGAACATGTAAAAATTTGTATAATTACAATACTTGAGAAACTAAAATCACATAATTGTAGTACTTACTAAAATTACTTAATTAAAAATTAAGGATCAAATGTACAATTGCAATACTTAAGAAACTAAACTTACTCAATTAAAATTTGAGATATTAAAACTGTACAATAATTATAATTGAATATATATATATATATATATCATCTATGCATTAAATGATATTTATTTTTTTTAACTAAAATTACTAATATATATAATTTAAATAAATAAAAATTTGTATAATCGTAATACTTGAGAAATAAAAATCAGATAATTACAAAACTTAAAAGATAAAAGTTGCTCAATTTAAGAAAATAAAATTATACAAATACAATATTCAAAGAATTAAAATTGTTTAATTAAAATTTGAGAAACTAAAATTAAATAATTCTTATATGTCAAAGACAAAAAAACATTTAAGCCTTAATAATATATAACACTCTTATAAAAAAAATTGTTTTTATCAAAGTATATTAATTGAGATTTAAAAACTTCAACAAATATAACTTATAGTATTTTAATATTTTAAGCAATATTTTTTTAGATTCATTTTATAAATTAAATAGAAATATCATATTAATAATAAGAATGGGTCATCGAAAGGAGAAGAAATTGAAAGTTGACAAATATTTTTTTTTATGTTTTTTTAACGGGAGAAAGTACAGAATTATTGAAAGAATAAATTAGAGATGTAGAATAATGCAATAAAAAGAATGAATTATAAATAGAAGAGAAGGATTATAGGAGGTAGAAAAAATCATAGGTAGAAAAATTCGAGAAATAAAAACTATATTAAGAGTGTGAATTACATACATAGTTTTCCCATAACCCTTGAGTCTTCCATGTGAGTGTAATCACAAAACAAATGTAAGCTTTTACGTATGTACAATAAATGTGTAATGATTAAAAGATTTTTAAGATAGTTATTTGTCAGAATGCATATAATCACTTCTTGTAATTTGTAACATTCTATTTTTTTAGAAACTAATAATATTATTAATATAAATTTTTTATTATATTATTTTTGGGTTAGAAATATTTGATTATTATTATTATTAAAAGAAAAATATTTTTGTATTATTATTTATATGTATTTTATTAAATTATTTTAAGAAAAAAGAGAGACAGGTCGAGAAGTGAATTGAGTTAGATTCACTACTACAGAATGTATTATTTACATCGGTTCTGCAAGGTAATTTACATCGGTTCTAAAACCGATGTAGAATAGGGCGACATAGAAATACATACACTTTTACATCGGTTTTGAAACCGATATAAATTTGTACAAAATTTACATCGATTTTGCTGACAACCGATGTAAATTTGTGCTAAAATCTACATCTACATCGGTTCTACTAACAACCGATGTAGATTGCATTTTAAAAAAAAAAATCATTTATTTTTTAGATTCTTTCTGATTACCTATAATAAACATATATATATATATATATATATATATATATATATATATCTCAAACAAAAATTGTATGGTACACTATTCAACTCAATTGTGTTGCTTAAGTAGAGTGGATATACAATTTAACTTGTTTAAGGGATCAAAATGAATCTAATAAATAAGATAAAGAACCAAAAATATAATTTACATCTATAATAATACATACAACCTTCCAACTGTATTATATAATAGTAGTGCATGCTATATTTGGTAATGTAAATGCCATACATAGAACATGCAGTGCTATATACCATTAAAAACATAAATCACATCAGAGCTAAAAAAAAAGGTTATAGGTAGATTATCTTACTTGTTAAATATGCACCTCGATGCAGAAGTCAGCTTCTGAATATCACTTACCATCAAAAAACTTCTTACAACGTTTTTCCACTGTTTTCTCTCTTTCAAGGCATAACCATTTTTATGCCTAAATTCAGAACCACATTTGTCAGATGAATAGTTGAGAGAATGAGTACCAATCTTATTGTTCAGCTTGTCAAAATTGGCTTCTAGAAGCTCATATACGTCTGCAGACTTAGCTACCTCATGTTCTTGATAAAAGCAAATGTTAGATATTATAAATGACAGTGTAAAGCCTGTAAGGTACAAGATAAATTTGCTCCGTATCAACCCTCAAACTTTTCTAGTCTATCATTTATCAAACCAATGCAAAAATTGACAAAATGCAACGTGATATGAAGACAAAAGAAGATCTGAAAACTGTGGCATTAGGCACATCCAAGATAAACGACCTTGACCCCAGGATTACGGTTGCCTGGTGCAAGCGGCACGAGGTTCCTATTGAAATGATTTTCAACAAATCTCTTCTGGCGAAATTCTGTTGCGCAATGGATGTGATCTTGATTTCAGATTCTGAGATACATAGAATGGAGCCATGTTCATGATGGGGAGAAACATTTCTTTTTTACTTATTTCTTTTCTATAAAATTATTTTTTTTCTGTACGTTGTCAATTTTAGCGGAAATTGATGTTGTAAGTCCATCTAATCTAATTATGGGGTGAGTTGCCCCTTCTTCATTGACAAGTTTTTATACTTGAACTGTTAACCATTCATAGTCATGATTTTAATGTGATAAACAAAAGCCTCTTTTGGAACAGAAAATGCCCATTGATGTTAAGTAGGAACCAAAATCTATTGAACATTCTGCTAAAGGAGGAATCAAAATTGAAGTTTCACTTCAATAACTTAAAGTTAATCCTTAATGCAAAATACTTGTTAAGCGGATTACTTAGATGAAATTTCAATTTTGATTAAAATACAATATCAAAAGTACTTGAACAACCACATCTAAATTTTGTCTATATATAGTCAACCTACATAGCATAGGCCGTATAACTAAAAATGCACATATTAATCAGTTGAATAAATGTGTATTGACAAGCGCTACCAACACTTTCTTTCTAAGAATCTCTCTACCATTAATGGGAATTTAGCAAAAATTATAAATTTTGACAAGTCTCACTTTCAAATTAAGGGATACACTCGTTAAATAAGAATTGTGACCCTCCTTTTGGCTAGCCAGCTACAGAAGCTTCAAGCAATTGCATTGCAGCCACAAAAAAAACACAGCAGAAAAGAAAGAAAACAACAAAGTAGAGGGGAAAAAATTGAGACAAAGTACCTATGCACAGCAGTCTATGTTAGTTGAAAGTCTCGCAGGCCTCTGGCTCTATTTAATTGTGCTACTGATCATGCTGAGGAGTTTCTCTAAGGTGAGAGTTCTGAGTTTATTTAGCTGTGAGTTCCAACAACATTAAATCTCACTCTTCATCTTAAAAGCTTAACCAAACAACCTGAGACGTGAGAACATAATGATAATGATGTAACTAAAGACAATAAAAAGAAAGAAATTCTGAGCTTAGTAAATTATGGTATATTGGTAATCCTTTTTTATCCTCAATTTACCAATTAATATTATTTTTAAAACAACACCAGTTGCTAACATTCCCGGATTATCATTTGTAGCAAAATTGTAATAATTTAGAAATATTTTTATGAGCAAATGTCTAATCTCAACATTTGGGCTCTATGTTGGAATTCTTGAATATCTAAATCTCCACTTGGCAAACGTATGCTATATTTGCATGAATTCAGTAAAACAATTGATGTTTGGTTACTTTCAAAGTTCATACAGCATAAATAATTGTTGCATGTTGCAACATCCTCAAACTGATTAAAGGCATTCCTTGTAGTTCATTCCATCCATGTCTCAATTTTTATGCTAGTTGCTGCTACTATTTTACTCTGTTTGTGCCTATAATGCAAAGTTGTCATCATAAAATATCATGTATATTTTTCTGTGAGAATGCAGTCAATGAGTGCTTACAATCATTGTTACAATTGTAATTAAATCCTAAACTCGCTCCCTAGTCAACTAATGTAATATACCTTGCGTGGTCTGTGTTATTATATATACAATTACTATATACTCTCTTTACTTTCTAGTATTAGAATCAAGTTAGTAGCATAGTGAATTTCAACCCAACTCTCTTCTAATCCTAATTCCTTTCTTAGAATGTTGTAAGTTTAAATAATACAATTTGGAAAGCTCCTTCAGCTTGGGTAGTGCAGCGAAATTGTTTGCTATTATATCTAGCCTTTCTAACCATCTCATTTTTCTATCAGCATAAATGATTTTTACTAAATGGCAGAAACTTAGATCAAGTCTATAGACACTAAATGGTCCATGCATTCAGAAAACGAAAGATATAGACACTATATGGTCCATGCATATTCCAGCATTTATTAACCATCTCACAATTAATGCTAACAATAACAATAGATTCAACAGTCAGGTACTACAGCAACACATCCGTGAACAAAAAAAAAAGACATTTGAGATTGGGGAGACAAAGATAGGTTTATATCACAGTCTGCAGTTTGGATTCTGGCTGGCCAAAGTTTCAACTAAATATCATTTGAATCCAAATAAACAGACTAAATTCCTTACAAAGTGAATACATTTTTTGCTTCTCTACTGGTAAGGTATGATGGATAAGTTAGAGAACATCACCTCTCGAAACCTTCTGTTTTGATCCTTCTGAATCTACTCTCAATGTACCATCTATTTGAAAAAGGAAATGAAATAATGCTACTTATTAACCAACCCCCAGAGCAGCTTCAACAATAAGCAGGTTTGTAAAAAAAGTAATATGATAAACAATTATGATATTTGCTACATAATCAGTAATATGATAAACAGCAACCTAACTGAGTAACACAAGTTTAACAATTGTAGTATACAATTCCAAAAAATTCATATAGACCCTGCACACTTAAAGTGTGAAACTTTATTGCATATTCAACAACATAGACCCTGCACACTTATATTATGATTTAACTTCATTCTTCATATTTTTCTTTCAATCAACACAGCAAAATTTTGACCATTAAATATTTCAGTGTTCTTTTATAAGCAGTTAAATTTAAACACTCAATTAAATTTTTAAACACAACAAATATATTCCAACTTACTATCCCAATGAAAATGGTCAAGAAATATTGATTTTCAAATAACACCACCCTTTCCCTATGTAAATTAACTAAGCCTCTTCGTTACAATCTTCTTAGATGATATATATGCTATTTCTAGCTTTCTTCAGCACCCAAAATCATATGGAACAAGTGCTTTTAGCTCGGGACCACTAAACATGTTGTTTTCAAAACTTAAACAAGAGAAGGAGAAATATTTAGTAAATATAACAACATTAACTCATTCAAATCTAAATTAATCCTCTTTAAAATTTAAAATGTCAAGATTTTGTGCCATCATAGATTGGTTTTGAATCAAACTGTTATAGTCAACAACGACTTGCCTGTTCCTCTTGATGATGTGAACTCGATTAATTTGTACCAGTTATCTTCCAAGGGGGTCTTCAATTGGAACCTAGACGGATGTGGAAAAAATTTGCAAAAAGAAATTAGGGCAAATGTGAGCACCTTGAGAAATTATAAAAAAAATCCCAAAATAGTTTGCAAGTTAACTTACAAATCTTCTACTTTTCCCTTTGGCGAAGAACTCGCGCAAGAGAACCACTCGAGACAGCTCCTCGAAGAGTGTTTGTGGATTTGGAGCACCACTCGAGAGAGCTCCTCGAGGAGAGTTTGTGGATTTGGAGCACCACTTGAGAGAGCTCCTCCGAGAATATTTGTCGATTTGGATCACTAGAAGAGGCCGCGAGAGTAATAGGACACTATTGCGTGTGTGTTGAATCCGCGAGAGACGTTGTGTCAAGAGTGCCCGCGAGGGTTCAATTTTGTGAGTTGAAGAAGCTGCACCAGAGACCGCGAGAGTGCCCCACCAGTGTTGTGTCGAGAGGGTTTAGAGCTCGCAAAAATTTGGCTTCAGTTTTACATCGGTCAAATGAAATACCAATACTAATTTTTACATCGGTCAGAAAGAGAACCGATGTAGAATTGTTTACATCTTCTTTTTATTTATAAAACTGCCATCACTTTTCTTATTTACATCATTTCTAAAGAAATTGATTTTCTAGTAGTGATTGACCTATTCTGAGGGAATGTAAAGGAAGAAGTTAGCAACTTAACCCTCATTAGTCTCATTTCATTTCTCAAAGAGTAAGAGAAAGAGAAAGGAAAAGCAAGAGCTTTGAGGAGGGGTGCCTAGGAAGAGATTAGGAACGACTTCCACTACAAAGGGAGTATTCCGATTAGTGCAACCAGGTACAGGGGAAAAATGATCTTTACATGCAAAGTCACATGAGGCAATAGGTAGAGCGAGAAATCCCTACGATTTTTAGTAATTTTATATGTGTTATGTTTGATAATTTCAATATGTTCCATGTGGGTTTCTATTTGTATTTTTGATATTGATTGTTGGAAATGGATGCATGGGATGTGAGACGAAATTGTTTTCAAATGTTCCTATAGGTTAGGGTTCAAAGAAATTGAGATCTGGGTGATTGATGCATGATTTTGGGTAATCGTTGTATGCTAATGCATTTCAAATGTTCCTATAGGTTAGGGTTCAAAGAAATTGAGATCTGGGTGATTGATGCATGATTTTGGGTAATCGTTGTATGCTAATGCATTTTCGAGTAAGTATGATGACTTTTGACTGATTGAAATGTGAAAAGAGTGATTGTATGATGAATGAAGAATTTGTATGTGTGTTGTTCGTGTATATGGGTTGTAGAAATTCACGTTGGCATCGAGCCTAGTTCTTAGCGTCGGGCACACATTCAAGGGATGAATGTGAATTTTTAGAATATTTACGCTAGGAAAAATTATAATTTCACCGGACATGAGTTTGTGGAATGGCCTACCATCGGGAAAAATTAGAATTTCACCAGGCGCAATTCCTAAAGGAGGTATTTGCCAGACCTCAACGCCGAGTGTGACCCCTTAGCATTAAGTGAGTGTGGCAGTAGAGCTCTTGGGTTGCATCTTGCCGGGAAAAATTAGAATTTCGTCGGGCATAAGCGAGAGTAGGAGTTCTTGGGTTGAGTCACGTTGGGTGAAATTATAATTTCGTCGAGCGTGAGTCTGAATCAATATTGTGTAAATTATGAAGTGGTTATTGATTATAAGTTGCTATACATACATACATACATACATATACATATATATATATATATATATATGTATATGTATATGTATGTATGTATGTATGTATGTATGTATGTATTGGTGAGTGTTGGATCTGATGTAAGTCAACTCTGAATTGCAAGATATGTGTATGACCTATTGGTTTATGTGGAAATGTTGGTTGTGTATTGTAGACACCTAATTTCGTCTAGAGGACAATGGCAAGGAAATGGACATCAAGTATGAAGAAAGGGAGTCCTCGAAAGCCCAGAAGCGACATGACAAGACATTAGGAGGTCCAAAGCCCAATAAGGTTAAATTAGGAGCCCAGAATGGGTCATTCCTAAACTAGAACTGGTCGTTCCAACCTTCTCAAAAGGCCTAGAAACCCTAGGTTAGAATGGGTTATTCCCAATCTAGAACGGGTCATTCTGACATAGGCTATTACAAGTAAAATTCAAATTAAAAATGGGTCATTCTGATTCCAGAACGGCCCGTTCTAGATTCAAATTTTACTTATAACAAAATGACCCATAATGGGCCGTTCTGGAACCAGAACAGGCCGTTTCGGTCAGTTCTATTGTCTATAAAGTAGTCACGTCAGGCATTGTTCAAGGGATCAAAAAATTATCGAAGAAAGTCACCTAGAGCTAAAAAATTCTCTCTCTCCCCCTCGTTTTGTATTTCTTGAGATTTTGTTAGGCACTTTTTAGTCTGAAGGATAACCAAAAAGCACTTGAAAGTCTCCATACTTGAAGATTCAATAAAGCTCAAGCAAGAGGTATTTCATTCAACATCTTTCTCTTTTTCTTACTGCATCATCCTTAAGAAATATTCTTTTAAATCAAGGAAGTAATCATGTAGACATCTTAGGATAAGTTGTGTAATTTAAAATTCATGTATGTAAATAATCATCAATAAAAGGGGAACTAATATTTAAACTATTATATATTATTATGCTAACTTCATCATAGGGTACTGATTTAGGGTGTTGTGGGGGTGCTTAATACCTTTCCTGCACGTAACTGACCCCCGAACCCAATTCTGGCTATGAAGGCCTTTATTGGAATTTTAAAAGATCTTTTCTTTCTCCAATGTTTTGAGTAAAACATTGGTGGCGACTCCAAGAACCTATCTTCAAAATCATTAATTAAGGATTAGTTTGGTCTCTAGGCATTCTTTGATTAATGAGATGTTTCAAAAAGGCAGTTTGAACCATAGGTCGTAAGCTCAAAAGTTTTTGGGTTACGATAGATGGCGACTCCACTAGGGAAGTTTAAAGAAGGTCAGACCCAAATAAATGATAAAGTTAGCAAAATAGGAATAATAGTTTAAATATCTTTTCCCCTTTACTTTGTTTGTTTTACTTGTTTGGCTTTGATATGTGTTTGTCTGTTTAAATTTTGCACCTATTTGAAATAACAATTTTACACAAACCCTTGCACACAATAGTTTCCTCTATACCCGAGGGCATGATAGCATAAACATAGGGAGTGGTTGACGTACGACCGGCCCACATATGACTTTCGAGCCGGCAAGCCTTGTCAGAAATCACAGTCAAGGTGATAACCAGTTACTCTAGCCTAAAATATTGCGACGAACCTTAAAGTTTTCTAGGTGACGGCGTTAGAGATACTAGGTCCCTATAATGGGGGCACCTTGGGAACCTTTAAAGACTAGTGAGGTATTTAGAACTGATGGCAAAGCTAGGTGAAGAAGATTGATGATCTTTCCTTGGCTTTGCTCTGGCCTTGGCACTCTTCCTTGATCAAAATTTTGGACATTCAAATCCAACAAAGTGATGAGAAGAAGAACGTAATTGAAGTGGAAGGAAGCACCAAAGCAAAGTGAGCAAT